TCTGTGAATTACTATAGCTAATTAAGGCAGTTCCTAATTAAATTAAAGAAGCTTGGTGTGGAGGAGCACACCAACAATTCCAACACTGGGAGGCAGAGGCAGGAGGATCAGGAGTTCAGTGCCAGCTGCAGATGAATACTATTTTTATGCTATCCTCAGTTACATTGGATTCTGTCTTTAAAAAAAGATCAGTTTAATGATTAAAGTAGAAAAATTCTGAGTCATGTCAAATATTCAGTGCTGGAAAATCATCTGACAAGATTTTGGTTAAGAACTCTTAGAAGAAGAGTCTCTTCCTATGTTGATGAAGAGTTTCTACAAAAGATCTGCAGCCTGTGTCATTCCTCCTGTGCAATACAGCACTATCTGCAACCTCTAGGACAAGTGAGTATGTCTACTCTCCCTGTGTACATGTATATCAACGCAAAAAAAAATTCCAACTACAGATTTAGGGTTAAAGGGAGAATAAAAGATGTACAGGAAGAAATAAGACCCTATATGTGGATGGTGGGATTGTCTCTGTGGAAGGATCCAATGAGTCTAAAACAGAATTTGAAATGGCAAATGACTTAACCAAGGTTCCCGGAGGTAACACCTTCCCCTCCATGGTGGAACCAGCCACATAGAAGAGATCCCACCCCAAATGGTTTCTTCCTTTGATTTCCTGCTACCCTCAGTTAGTGTCTCTAGCTCTCCTTACACTGCATTGTTAAGGGTTCATTGTATTCACTATCCCTGCTCAGTCTACTGTGTGCTCCTATCTCCTGATTACTTTATTATATTTTATTACAAGTATGGCACATGCTACAAGGAACCCCAAATGTAACAAGCTGAACAAACTGAAAGGTTTTAGATTAAATGGAATGGTCTGAGTTGTTGTGGAATATTATTTTAAGATGTGTTTATAAACATTTGTTTATACTATGGAGAATTTGTTTAATGATGCAAAGATGTGTTGGATTATTTTATGTTGCATTCATTTAACTCCATGAAGCTGTGTTACTTTGCCTGTGTAAACCATCTGATTGGTCTAATAAAGAGCTGAAAGGTCAATAGCTTAGCAGGAAAGGATAGGTGGGGCTTGCAGGCAGAAAGAATAAAATAATAAAATAATAATATAAATAAAATTAATAAAATAATAAAAATAAAATAAGAGGAGAAATTTGGGCTGCCCCAGTTTCTAGCTAGCAGGGAAGATTGCTGTGGGCCGGTTTCCCCACCAATACCCCACATAGGACCCTGCAATCTACAAGACCCACTCCCTACCCCAAACCCACCCATCGCCCTGTGACCTCAATAGCTTCCTGAAACACAGAAACCACCAGCTCTGATTGGACCAAGAAGTGAGTGATTCTTCTCCCACCCAGAGAGTCCTGCCTCTGGGACCTAGGCCCTAGGGTACAACCCATGCCCCAGAACCCCCACCCATTGCTGTCTCAGTTGCCAGCCAGCAGGAGGCTTCCCCACCAACACCCCCCATTGGACCCTGCAATCTATAAGACCCACTCCCTACCCGATATCCACCCATCCCCATACAACTTCAGCAGCTTCCTGAGACACAGAATCTGCCAGCTCCAATTAGACCAAGAGCTACAATTAGACCAATAATGGCCCCCTGAGACACAGACACAGCAAGCACAGATTGGACCAAGAGCAGCTCCCTCAAACACAGACACCTCTTGCAAGTACTGGAGGAAGAGATGGGTAGACACCAGTGCAAAAATACATACAACAACATAAAGAGCAACATGGCACCACCAGAACCTATCAGTTCTTCAACAGTAAGACCTGAACATCACAACATAGAAGAAGTAGAAGAAAGAGACCTTAAAAATAATTTTATGAAGATGATAAAGGTCTTTAAAGAGGAAATGAAAAATTCCCTTAAAGAAATTGTGGAAAAGGTGTCAAAGCTACACAGAGCAACCTTGTCTCGTTTAAAAAAAAAAAAAGAAAGAAAGGAAAAAAAAAGAAATTGAGGGGGGGAGAGCAAAAAATTGGGGAAAAAAAACAATAAATCCCTTAAAGAAAACCAAGAATAAGAGGAGAAGTTTGGGAAGAGAAGTTCAAGGAGCAAGAAAAGCAGAGAGGACACCAGGGGCCAGTCACCCAGCTACACAGCAAGCCATGAAATAGGAAGTAAAGAACGGTGTACAGAATAGAGAAATATAAAAGCCCAGAGGCAAGCCCTGAACCCAGAACCAAAGAAACACACCCTGACCTTGAAACCAGAGTCAGAGAAACACACTTTGTCCCTAGAATCAGAGACAGTGAAAGAAATATACCCTGGTCCTAAAATTAGAGCCAAAAGGCTAAAAAGGACCAATGAAAGAAACACAGTTTGACCCTGAAATCAGAGCCAACTCTGTCCCTCACCAGTGAAAATAACCAATCCCTGAGCAGGAAAACTAACCAAATTCTGGGCAGAAAATCTTCTCCCTGGAGAAACACTGTCCCTAGGAAGCCCTATATAAGCCCCTCTGCCTGTTCAGTTGTGGGTTGTGCTTTCCCTGCCGAAGCAACCACCCTCCTGGACTCCTTCCCAAATAAATCTTTCTTAAAAGAGTCTTGAGTGAAGATCTTCATCCCCTGGCACAGAACAGAAAAACATTGCTGAGATGTCCCTTAGGGGAGCTGAGCAAGGCTGAACAGAAAAAGTAACAACTTTTCTGTAGAGCTGGAGGAGATTGCTACATTTCTTTGGGGTTTCCTCTTCAGCAGAGTGAAGCAGAAGAAGCAACATCTTGGCCTGAGAGAAGAAGAAGCAGAGCTCTGCTGGGAAGCCCCTTAAAGAAAGTGAGGGGTGGAACAAAGCTCAGCTGTAATGGCTTTCTCTAGAAGAGCAGGATTGCTTTATATCCTGCAGGAAGACCATCTGCCACCCACCACACCCCAGCCTCAGGTATCGCCTGACTTTGCAACAAATCAGGATACCTTTTCGACAAATCAGGATACCTTTTCCTCCAGAGCTGAGCTGTCCTCTTGTGGCTCCAGCCTCCAAAGCTGTCCTATTGCAGCTCCAGGTAAAGCCTGAGTTCCTGACAAGTCAGTATACCTGTCCCTCCAGAGCTATAACACTTGCACTATGCAGACCACATTTCCCGGCAGCCTACAGATACTAGCAGGCACTGTACCAAGACTATGTGAGTGAGGCTGTGACAGGCTCCCTGAGCACTGCCTGCTCTCCCACAGCTCATGCTCTCTCTCCCACTTGTTATGATATATTACTTGGGGACCCTGAGGGTATCCTGCGCTCTCAGGGAACCATGTTGGTATGCTGGACAGATGCAGCGGCGAGCTGGCAGGTGACCCACTCCATGGGGGCATGGTGGTGGGGTGGTGGGTGGACATTCACAACTCAGACACTATATCCATGCAGAAATTGTTTATTATAACAGAGAGATGAAGAGAAGAAAGAAGAGAGAAAGAGAGAGGGAAAGAGGGAGAGAGGGAGAAAGAGGTGCACACCTCATGGGAATGAAGGGAGAGAGAGAGAAAAGGGTGGAATTTTTCGTTAAGAAGGCTTCTTATTCAGGATGCAGGGCAGCCCCAATGGGAAAGATCAGAATATTAACACCGCTAATCTCCCATTCCCCTCCCTTGGGCTCCCTGATGCTGTCTGGGGATGAAATAGCTGGTCTTTAGGTGTCCTGAGTCAGGAAAATGACAGACACCTAGAAATTAGAGACTTCAGACATCAACGGACAAATCTCCCCAACCTCAAAGGAATACACCTAAGTTGCTTTTCCTTCACACCTCCCCCATGGCTTCTAGATGTCTTCCTCACTTCCCCACAGTGCATGATCTCCCTGCCCTGCCTTCTTCCCTTCCTCAAAGGCCATAATGTTGGCTTCCTTGATTTTCCAGGTTGACTGAAATCCCCACTCTTTCTTAACTACCAAAATCTCTGAGGTTAAACGATTCTCCTGCCCTCAAGGAACGTTGTCTACATCCTGTACTTTATCATTTTAGAGATCCTTCAGAAGTTCCCAGAATTTAGAAAATTTACCAACCACAGAAGAGAAGGTAGGACACCACGCTCTACTTTGCATGTTGTTGGAAAATATTTTCAGTGTCTCACTAACACACAAAGAATAAAAGTCAACTTATCAAGGCAATTTCTTTTTGGAAAAGAATGTTCCACCACACACAGAGAGCAAGCACACCAGGCAGGAAGTTCACATGTTTTTGTGGTAACACAGTTCATGACTCTCCCTTTTCCCACTGGTGGGAGCCAGACCTTAGAATTGATGTGATTGGCTAATTCACATTTTAGCTAATTCATAATTGCTGAAAAAGGGAAGGGGTGATAGGAAGCTGTCTCAGGAGTGTCCAGAGCTTGTCAGACAGTAAATACACGAGGTGTCAAGATGGGGGAGGTTTAAGGAATATTGGCCATTGGCACTTTATCCACCTCTAGTAGAGGAAAAAAGAATCTTGCCATGTGTATTGACAGACAAAGAACTCATGTGAATCTCCATGAGTTCCAGGACATCCTGGTCTAGTAGCAAATTCCAGTCAAGCCAGGGATACATAGGGATCCTGTCACAGAAAAAACAAAATTCTCATAATGTGAGAAATGGAAAACCAGCTATGCACACAGAAGACTTCAGGACCCAGAAATCATTTTGGAACAAGATAAATGGGGTTTAAAATAATTAAGAACATCAGAGCAAGGTATGGTGACATGCTTGTAATCCCAGCATTCTGGGGGTAGAAGCAGGAGGATAGGAGTTCAAGGCCATCCTTGGCCACATAGTAAGGCTGAAACCAGCTGAAGCTACTAGAGATTCTGCCTCAATAAAAAAAAAAAAAAAGCAACAATACACTCCAGTACCATCCCCTTCCTCAAAAAAAAAAAAAAAAAAAAAAATGTAAAATTTGAGGCTGGGAACTGAGTTTGATCCCAATGTTAAAAAAAAAAAGTATCAACATTTTTATATTGGAAATTTCAAATGGAAACTAGAGTATAAAAACAATGTAGTGGACCTAACACTCGGCAAGTTCAATCATGTGTCTCTAGGAGAGAACGTGGACTTCAGTTCTGACTTCAGCAACCATGAGGCCCCGAGTTCAATCCTAAGTACATCAAAAAAGGAAAGGAAAAGGAAAAACCTTCTATATCATCTAGAAATACATTTATTCCCAGAATGGATAACTAGTTATTCCCAAATGAACCAAAAATGAGCAAAGGTGATGGTCACAGGGTGCTCATCTGCCAACTTGGGCTGAACAGGAGCTAAGCACCTCTGCAGCCTGCAGGCTGTGACTCTCCCTGCCCTCTGCCTATTCCTAAGGGCACTGACCATCTGTCAAGCCTCCCAGCAGAGGAAGGGACAAGCTGAGTGAGGGTGCTCAGGCCCTCAGGTAACTGCATGACAGAGTTTCCCCAAGTTCTGGAGGCTCTGGCTACCATCTCACTGAATAGGAGATTAGGGACACAGTGGGAGCTAGAGGTGGCTGTCACTCCAGGAGCTTAGTGTGTGGTGAGCCAAGTGGTATTGGGCCTACTAAACTCTGAGGCAGGGTAGAGGGTAACACTTCAGTAATGTTCCCAAATCCTTCCAGTTCCACACAGCCTGGATGCCCCTGAAATAGGTCTGGCCTCATCAATAGGATTTCAGCTATCGGTTCCTGATTGCTTGGTGGTTCTTGGGCACAGCCACATATCTCAGCTTCTTCATGATGGAGGGCCAGCCTAGCAGCTGCTGGTCCCATACATACTCTGGGGACAACACCTTTGTAGGTTTGTGGTATAGCAAGTACTTGTTCAAATAGCTCTCATCATGCCACACAGCCTCTATGCCATTGGCCTTGTCCTGCACCATAGCCTCATGACAGGCCTTGGTGAGATGGTACACCTCCAACACTGACCCCCCAAAGAAGCCCCCTGCATAGTAAAAGTCACCCTCATCCCGGGGGATGTAGGCCTGGGACTGTGGCCGGCGCTCATAGGTAAAGGCCTCTCGACTGCTCCTGTAGAAGCCAGGATGCAGGGTACCAAAGAGTGCTGAGAGAATCTCCACACCCACGTGGTCACTGAACTTCATGTCCACATCTGCACACACCAGGTAATCCACCTCATGCAGAAAGCGCTCCTCTGAGAAGTGGCTGATCATCTCCATCCTGTGCATGGACACATCCTGCCAGCGGGTGTAGTTGCGCACAGTTAGCACCACCAGCTTCCGTCCTGCACCCAGGGGCACCTGCGGCACGTCAGCTGGACGGTCAGTGAAGACATAGTAGGTGACCTTGTGTCCCACCATGAAGTGCTGCTCTGCTGTCTCCAGGAACAGCTTCAGGAACACCACATACCTATGAGGGAGGACAAAGGGGTATAGAGAGCCTTAGTGCAGCTAGGTCAAGACTTGCCAGGGCAGAGGTCTAGGCTGCAGAATCCATGGCTACCTGGAGGCTTGAAGCAGTGACATCCCCCACTGTACCCCTGTCCTGACCAGTCTGCAGGCTGTACCTCACCTCACCCTCCTTTGCTGCAGAAGGGTACAACATCAGCACCACATCTTAGCAAGAAATGCTGAGGCAGAGGCCTGGAAGGTTTCAGCCAGGCAGCAGGGCTGACTTCAGATGCCCTGCAGATATCTCTTGTCTTGGCAATTCCTCAGCAAGCCACCTCTCCATGTACCTGTCACTATCTCCCCAATAATGACAGTTCCATCCCAAGATATTCCACACCCCACACACTTGTGTTGCCTGAGCAGAGCCTGTGCTCACAGGGCCCCACTTTCTAAACCCTGGTGGAACTGGATGGATCCTCAAGGGCCTGGTACCTGCACCCCTCCTTTGTGGCACTCTCCAGGGCCTTGTCTTAGGAAGGGAAGGGGTCTCTATATCTCAGACTTTCCTCCTCAGAAGCTTGAAGGTGCTGTGGACAACCACTCAGTAACACAATCATGTCTCTAAGAGTCTTCCCCCATGTACTCCACCAGAGCGAGAATCAGTCTCACAGAGTAGGCAGGGAAGGGGAGACAAGAACCCTAGAAAGAAGGCCAAGCCTAAGCCAAACCCCTAAGCAAAGAGCTTCTGTCTTAGTTACAGTTTTTATTGCTGTGAAGAGACACCATGACCATGGCAACACTTATAAAGGAAAACATTTAATTGATGTGGCAGCTTATAGTTTCAAGGTTCAGTCCATTATCATCATGGTGAGGAGCATGGCAGGTTGACTTAGTGCTACAGCCAAGAGTCCTACATCTTGCAGGTAACAGGAAGTCAACTGAGACATTTGGTAGTATCCTGATCATAGGAAACCTTAAAGCCTGTCCCCACAGTGACACATTTTCTCCAACAAGGCCATATCCACTCCAACAAAGCCACACTTCCTAATAGTGCCACTCATTTTGGGGGCCATTTTCTTTCAAACCACCACATTCCACTCCCTGATTCCCAAAGGCTTGTAGCCATGTCATAATACAAAAATTCATTCAGTCTAACTTCAAAAATCCCCATACTCTATCACAGTCTCAAACTTGTTTCAAAGTCCAAAGTCTCTTCTGAGACTCATAGCATTCTCTTAACTATAATCTCCTATAAAATCAAAATCAAAAAACAGATCACATGCTTCTAATATGTAATGGCACAGGATATCCATTACCATTCCAAAACTTAGGGAAGAGAGCATTGTGAGGAAATACTGGACCAAAGCAAGACCAAAAACAAGCTAGGCAAACTCCAAACTCTGCATTTCCATGTCTAATGTCAAAATGCTCTTCAGATCTACAACTAAGTTGTTTTGTGAACTGCAACATATTTCTTTCTCTTGGGCTGGTTCCACTCCCTATTAGAAACTCTCCTCAGCAAGTCTCCTACAATTCTGGTATCTCTAACATCTTGGGTTTTCCAAGGCACTCCAGGCTTCAACTTCACAGCTTCACAAAATGGCCTCTCTACTAGGCCTCCATTCAGGACTGACTCCCTGGGCATATGCCTGGCCACGGTGGCTTTTTTTATGTGCAGAGGCAAATTCCATAATCTCTTTCTCCTATCCTTAACTCTAAAGTCAGAACCAAGTGGCCAAAGCTGCCAACCTCTGCTATTTATTGGGACTGGAACATGGCCCCCTCATTCAATTACATCTTCACCAGCTTTCTGTCCTTCACTGCCTAAACTTGGATGTTCTGAAACTTGCTCTGTAGTCCAAGCTGGCCGCAAACTCAGAGATCCTCCACCCTCTGCCTTCTCAATACTGGTATTAAAGGTATGCACCACCACAGCTGGTTCTAAGCTTTTCTTTAGTTTCTTTCCACAAGTTGGAAACTTAGCTCAGTGGGATCTTGTCCTTGTTCTTAATCTGTTTATATCCTTGAACAGAGGGATTAGCTCCATTCCACTTCCTGGTACTCTTTTTCTCCAAAAATTGAACATTTTGTATTTTTTCTTGTTCAGCTTGCTTCTTTTCATAATATATCTTCATTATAGTTAACACTAATAACAATACAATAGAGTCTATACTAAGCTGTTTTGAGATTTCTTCTGCCAGTGGAATTGATCCAAAACTCTTCACTTTAGCCTCAGGCAGACTCCTCTGAAAAGGGCAAAAGGCAGCCACTTTCTTCAACAAAATATCACAAGACCAGCCTCTAGTCCACATGATAATATTCTTCTCCTCTGAAACATCTTGATCCCCAAAGTTTATTAAATCAATTCAGCACCACTGTCTTCTATGCTCCTGATACTTTGGCCCGTTAAGCACCACTTAAAGCATTCCACTGCTTTCCTAATCCAAACTCCCAAAGTCCATATTACTCCAAACCAAAACATGGTCAGGTCTATCACAATACCCTAGTCTCTGATACCAACTTCTGTCTTACAGTTTTTATTGCTACAAAGAGACACCATGACCATGGCAACACTTTTTTTAATTAAGAAAATGTTTTCCATTTATTTTACATACCCATCAAAGATCCCCCTCTTCTCTTCTCCTATCCCCAGCCTTCCCCTCCCAACCGACCTCCCACTACTCCCCACAAGAAGGCCAGGGCCTCCCATGGGGAAGCACATCCAATACAGGCAAGTCCAAGACCTTCCCCCTGCCTCAAGGCTGCACGAGGTGTCCCATCATAGGTAGTGGGCTCCAAAAAGCCCATTCATGTACCAGGGATGGATTCTGATCCTACCACCAGGGGGCCCCCCAAGCAGATCAAGCTACATAACTGTCTCCCCACGCAGAGGGCCTAGTCCAGTAGGCCCTAGTCTGTGCAGGCTCCACAGCCATTGATCTAACTTTCATGAGTTCCCACTAGTTTGGTTTGGTCATCTCTGCAGGTTTCCCCAACATAATCCTGATGCACTTGCTCATAGAATCCTTCTTCTCTCTCTTTGACTGGACTCCTGGAGCTCTGCCTGGTGTTTGGTTGTGGATCTCTGCATCTGCTTCCATCAATCTTAGGAGAAAAGCTCTGTGATGACAGTTATGTTATTCACCCCGGTCTGATCACTGGGGTAAGCCAGTTCAGTTCAGGCACACTCTCCACTATTTCTAGTAGTTCAAGCTTGGGTCATCCTTGGGGATTCCTGGCAACTTCCCTAGCACTGGGTTTCTCTATGTCCATGATATCTCTCTCTATCATGGTATCTCTTTCATTGCTTTCCCACTCCATCCCTGTTCCAGCTCAACCTTCCCTTTCCATTATTTTCTCATTCTCTATGCCCTACCCTCTATTTCCCTACCCTCATCCCCAGTTTACTGATGAAGACCTCACCTATTTCCCCTTCCCAGGGTGATCCATGCATCCCTCTTTGGGTCTTCCTTATTAGCTAGCTTCTCTGGAGTTGTGGGTTGTTGTCTGATTATCCTTTGCTTTACATCTAGTATCCACTTAGAGTGAGTACATACCATGTCTGTCCTTCTAAGTCTGGGTTACCTCACACAGGATGATATTTTCTAGTTCTATCCATTTGCCTACAAATTTCATAATGTCATTGTTTTTCTCTGCTGAGTAGTATTCCATTGTATATATGTACCACATTTTCTTAATCCATTCTTTAGTTGAGAGACATCTAGGTTATTTCCAGGTTCTGTTTATTATGAATAATGCTGCTATAAACATAGTTGAGTATGTGTCCCTGTGGTATGATTGAGCATTTCTTGGGTATATGCCCAAGAGTGGTATAGCTAGATCTTGAGGAAGATTAATTCCCAATTTTCTGAGAAACTGCCACACTGACACACTGATTTCCAAAGTGGCTGTACAAGTTTGCACTCCCACCAACAGTGGAGGAGTGTTCCCCCTAGCTCCACATCCTCTCCAGCATAAGCTGTCTTCAGTGTTTTTGATCTTAGTCATTCTGACAGGTGTAAGATGGTATTTCAGAGTCATTTTGATTTGCATCTCCCTGATGACTAAGGATGCTGAGCAATTCCTTAAATGTCTTTCGGCCATTTGAATTCTTCCTTTGAGAATTCTGTTTAGTTCTATAGCTCATTTTATAATTGGATTGTTTATTATTTTGATGTCTAGTTTCTTGAGTTCTTTCTACATTTTGGACATCAGCCATCAGATGTGGGGTTGGTGAAAATCTTTTCCCATTCTGTAGGCTGTCATTTTGTCTTATTAACTGTGTCCTTTGGACCATAACAACACTTTTAAAGGAAAACATTTAACTGAGGTGGCAGCTTACATTTTCAGAGGTTCAATCCATTATCATCATGCTGGGGAGCATGGCAGGCAGACTTGGTGCTGGAGCCAAGAGTCCTACATCTTGCAGGCAACAGGAAGTCAACTGACACTCTGGGCAGTATCCTGAGCATAGGAAACCTCATAGCCCACCGCCACAGTGACACACTTCCTCCAACAAGGCCATACTCACTCCGACAAAGCTACACCTGCTAATAGTGCCACTCACTTTGGGGGCCATTTTCTTTCAAACCACCACAGGTTCTATGTCCTCTCCCAGCCCAAGAAGAAGTTTTCACCTGTTCCAGGGCTGTTCCTCTATTCATGGCCACCATGTGCCCCCACCATGGAAACAAGGATCCCCATCACCTGACACATGTCCCAAGCTTCTCCAATTCAATGTCAGAAACAGGCAAGTGGCTGTTTTCCCTGTGCAAAGGTGACAAGGGAACTCCCAGCTAGTTCCCTCAGAGGCCTTCTTCCCACAGACAGAGTACCTACCCACTCCTGGCAGGGCTCTTGCTCATGTACCCAGCAGCATCCAGACAAGGTAGTGTTTGTGTTCTGTTATTGCGAAGTCCTTTATCCCTAGGAACTCCAGGTATTCTCAAGATGCCTAAGATCCCTCCAGCTACGCTCCAAACCTCTCTCAAGTCTGATTGGTACAAAGACCTCAGAGCTATCCTTGGATCTGCACCAAGTACCACACCCAGTACAGCAAGGAAAGATAAAACTCCTCCTTTCTCATTATGCAAACAGCACAAATGACATCTCTCAGCCCCCCACAGCCTTCCACACTGTAATGCTTCCCTGTCCTGCTCCCCACAGGCTTTCACAGGGAAAGTTTCTGGTCTGTGGCCTAGAGTCAGCCTGACCCAGAGTCTCAAGGCTTCATGGGTCTGCTACTCCCTGCCCCAGGGCTGAGGTTAAAGGTTTGACCCAATCCTTGCTGTCCACCTTGTCCTCCATCTGAGCATACATCTGTTGTGGAATATCACTTTAACTATGCAAATGTCTGTTACATTTGTTTATGATGCCTTTGTTCAATTATGCCTGCCTAAGGCACAGATTGGTCTAATAAAAAGCTGAGCAGCCAATAGCTAGGCAGAAGAAGGATAAGTGGAGCTGGTGGGCAGAGAGAATAAATAGGAGAGAATAATAGGAGGAAGAGAGAACTAGGGAGAAAGAGAGGGACATGCCCAGGCCCAGAAGCCAAGCAACAAGAAGTAAGTAAGATATACAGAAACACACACACACAGAGAGAGAGAGAGAGAGAGAGAGAGAGAGAGAGAGAGAGACAGAGAGAGACAGAGAGAGACAGAGAGAGACAGAGAGAGAGAGAGACAGAGAGGTAAAAAAAGACCCAAGGAAAAAACATAGATAAAGAGAAACAGATGAAAATAAGAGATAAGCTAAGGTCATACATTTAAAACTAATAATAAGTATCCATGTAATGTTTTGAAAGGTGATTGGTGGCCCAAAAGAGAAAGCCTGATACACACATCAGTGGCCACAGCTCTGATGGTATTCTGTCCCTAACTGCCACCATTGGGGATGAGTATACCTACCTGAAGTGTGTGCTGGGGGATAGAAATGGCACATGGCTAAGAGCACAGAGGGAAGGACAGCTGGCCTAGGGCTCCGGCTGGTGGCAGAGCTGGTTTCATTCACCTGTGAGCCCAGCAGAGATCAGGAAGGTGACAGAGTGAACCAACCCCCCACACACACACACATATTAAATACAAGAATGGCACTTGGTATGCCTGGCCTCTACCTTGACCATTGTATGTGTGCATAAGTGCATGTGTGAGTGTGCCCATTATATATAGTCATGTTTACTTGTCTGTATGCCTGTGTGGAAGTCAGAAGTTGACTTCAGTTGTCTTCTTCTGTCATTCCTATTTGTTCTTTGGATCCACTTGTCTCTCCCCTCCACCCACAGTGCTGGGATGACAGGGGCATGCCACCATGCACAGCCTTTACATGGGTGTTAGGGATCAAACTCAGGTCCTCTGAAGCAAGTGCTTTACCCACTAGCCATCGCTCCAGCAACCACTGCTTACTTTTTGATGGCAAACACAGTCAGTCCAATTGTGGTGTTACGAAGCCTGAACTGCTCATTCAGTATGTCGATGTTGAAGGTCCCCTCCCAGATGATGGGAGCCAGCCAAGGGGTCAGGACAAGAACATCTTTCCTACTACATGGGGACAAAGCCACAGTCAACAAGTGACCAAACATGCCTGCAGGAGCCCTTCTCAGATTCCACACCCTCAGCTGCCCCAGGGCTGCCGACCCTCCCCAGTGGGGCCTGACCAATCAGCAGCAGCTCTCACTGACTACCCCCACCCCACTCCACCAAGCATTAAAAACAACTGAGTTTACAGCCACTGCAGCCACCACATCTCTGAACACTGATGACAGAGACAGGAAACAAGGAGCAGATCCCAGATGGGAAATGACAGACAGGAGATGCTCCGGGCTCCAGACCTGAGTCAGACAACCCTCAGACTCTGAAAGGGTTGTGAACTGAGGGCAACGAGAATCACAATCAGGTCTTCGATTTTTTCTGGGTTTTGGTTTTTTTCCAGTGCTGGAGACTGGCCCAGGCCTCAGGTGTGCTGCTGAACTATCCCTACTGCAAGCAAATCCTCCTTTAGTACCTTTACGGCACTTCCCATGCACTGACCAAATCTACTCACCTGGGTGTTAGCACCTTTGGCTGGGCATAGGCCATCCTGCAAAAAGACAACACCAGAACTCAAGGTGACAGGAAGGTCCCTGGAATGCATGTCACTGGCAGCTGTGCACCAGGCAAACAGACCTGCATGAGCAGTGGCAACCAAGCCACTGTGTACGTCCATGACCCTGGGAGCAGAGGATGGGCCGAAGCAGGAAGATCACAGTTTTATTTGATATAAGGTAGGGAGAGGAAATCATGACACCCCTCCCCTTACTTAGGGCTGGGAGATCTAAGGGCTACTTTAATGCACAAGCCGGATGAGACTGAACATGTCTGTCCCTGGAAGATGCCAACCATCCGACCTGGGCCTGCAGCCTGCCTTGGTCCTCTCCTTAGCTGGTGGCACACAGAGTCCTGGCTCTCTGTCTCGGTCAGAGACCAGTCCCAACATCAGTGTGAAGTTCCCTCAAAAGGTCAGGCCCCAAGGGACAAGAGCCACTTCTGCTAGTAAGCTGCGTTCTAAGCCGGCCTGTGGAGCAGAGAGCAGGGCTGGAGAGACGCTCAGTGGTAAGAGCACTGGCTACTCTGGCAGAACAACGGGATTCCGTTCCCAGCACCCGCATGGAGACCCACAACTGTCTGTGACTCCAGTTCCAGGGGACCTGAGGGCCTTTTCTGGACTCTCTGGGCACAGGCACAAATATGGTACACAGACATACTTGTAGGCAAAACACTCATACACATAAAGCAAAATAAATATTTTTTTTTTTAGGCAGTGAATGAGCCTTAAAATAACACAGAAAATTTCTACACAGGAATGAGGCTTGAAGACACCTCATCACCTTGAGGAGTAAGTCTGGCCAGCCAACATAAAAGAAACCGTACAGGACCCCATCCCTGGGAGGTACTACTACAGAGTGGCCGTGCTCAGAGGAACAACACAGAATAGGTAAGATAACTGCCAGGACCACCAGTAAGGCTGGGCAATTGGGAATTGGTGTTTGATGGACACAGTTTACAAGATAGAATGTTCTGGAGATGGGTGGTGGTGAGGCTGCACCACGGCATGAATGTACTTACTACACTGAGCTGTTGAAATGGTGAGGATGGTAAACTCATGTGTTTTGCATGTTGCCATGGAAATGGGGTGAACAGCTGTAAACTCAGCTCTGTACCAGATGAGCCAGGCTGACTCTTTAAAAGCCAAATGACATGTAGTTAGTCAACACAAAGAGTGGGGCTATGTTTTCCACTCCGGGTGCAGGAAGGGACTTCCCAGCTGCCCATACTTACACACACACACACACACACACACACACACACACACACACACACTCCTCCATCCATGCCCTTCAGCCCAGATCTGTAGACACCGTGTGAGGACAGGATACCTTGACAGGGTTACAACTTCCCGGTCATCCAGCTCTCCGACAGTCACGCTGTAGAAGGAAACACAGGAGACAGGTTTATACCAGGGATACCAGGGGGGGTTAGGTGTCGGGAACACAAAGCCCGGAGGAAGGGGAGTGGTGTCTGAGCATACAGTAAGGTCTGTTACAGTTAAAGAACAGCATCATTGTGATCACCCCAGACACTATGCCAACAACATGAAATCAAGCATTGCCATACCACAGATTCAAAAGTCAAACACTGTGGTCAAGGTTCACTGCCCCACACTGACCAGCCACTCCCTAGTGGAGCCTGAGCAGAAAAGGAGTTCCAGAACACAGAAGATTCCCAGCCCCTCCCATCAAGAAGTGGAGCCTGTTCCTGTCCTTGAAGAGATAAACTGAGGCAGCAGTGCCTGGATGAATTTGAAACCGGCTTTTGACAAGTTGAACTAATGTGCAATATGGTCACTGGTCTAGAACCTTCCAGCCAGGCATAGAGGAAGCTCAGTCTACATAGGGAGGCCCCAGGGACAGGCACTTCAGCTGAGGGCCCCCCTCAACCACCAGAAGTGTGAGAGACCTCAAGGGAGACCCACCGAGCTCTGCACAGCGACCCCAGGGAGCTCTGGAGAGAGTCATCAAAGGTGTGACTGTCTCCCAACACAATGAGGGGGGGATAGAGTGCTCTGCAGCCGTGGAAAACTGACACAAGAGGGAACTGGTTTGAACAAAGAGCAGGTGGAGGCAATGTAGTCTAGTGGGAAGCACAGCATAGACAAAGATCAAGGCCAGCCCCACTCAAGGGCATGCATGACTTGTGCAGGAATGCAGAGGAGCAGGATGCTGGAGAGGGTCAGCAGGCAGGATCTGATTTCAGAAAGCCTCCTACCTTCTGTGCTGAAGGATCATTAGCTACAGTAAGGAAAAAATGGCTGAGACAAATGGACAAGCATGTGGCTGATGCAAGGCTGCAGCAGGCCCAGGAAAGCAGAACAAAGCTCCAAAAGGCAGACTGACAGGATCTGGGGACTGTGGGTAAGGAGGGACCTCCGACTTGGATCTCCGGGTAAAAGGCAAAAAATCTGGCACTCAGTAAGCTGCTGGGGAGGTGGGTGGGGAAGAGTAATTGTTCTTAGGGCTAACCAGGCAGGTACAGAAGGGAGGATGAGACTGAAGCCAGAGAAGACAATAGTGTTCCTGGAACACACAGACCCTTTAGAGACAACAGGTGGCAGCTGAGATTGCTCTGTGTAGCCTAGGGTAGGACTAGACCCATCCATATAGAGGTACAGGCAGAGGCCACAAGACATCATGAAACAGAATGTTCATCCAACCAGTAACACATCCCACACACACAGACATATTCACATATGACACCCACACACATTTGACACACAAACATGACACACACACATATATACATATATGACATACACACATTTTACACACAAACATATAACACATACACACACACACACACACACACACACACACACACACACACACACACACACACTACTCACCTAGTCACAGGTCCTGGGTTTCCCAATTCCTGGCTTCTGTGGCTCATGAACCCATAGCTGTGGGAAGGACATGCATAGGTCAACTGTTCAGGACACAGATCTGAGACTGGCTGGCTGTCCCTCTTCCCAAAATGCACTACTGTACACAGTGAGCACAGATGTTCCCAGTGGGGATACAGGGCCAGGTGACAGGACTAAGCAAGCTCACCCTGCTGGAAGAAGAGGTGGCAAGAAGAAGGGCCTTGGGGACAAGGCCTGCATCTGGACAGACACCTGAAACACTTACAAACAGCTCCTACTCCATGCCAGTTACCTACAACCCAAGACCATATCTGATATGGGATGTCCTTCTGTACACTGTGAATATGTGTTGCTATCATTGGTTGATAAATATGCTTTGGCCTATGGCAAATTAGGATAGAGTCATGAGGGAAATCCAACTAGAGATACAGGGGAAGGGCAGAGTCTGGGAGACACCATCCAGCCACCCAAGGAACAACATGTCAGTGGATGGTTAATGCCACAGCCACATGGCAATATTTAGATTAATAGATATGGGTTAACTTACATATAAGAGCTTGCTAGTAATGGCATACCAACATGGGGTTCTAGAATTTCCATAAGGCCTGAGAAAGCTTTAAAAAAAAAAAAAAAGAGGATATGGCTACTTTAAGAGTTTCCCTTGGACAATGAGCCCTTGAGCAGCTAGTACATTAAGTAGGAACAAAAAACTAAGTAAAAATGCCTGCCACAGTACAAGCATAGGCATTCTAGAGCTCTAGGAAGGTTTAATGCAGTTTTTGGTCATGAACCTGCAAGTGGGCTGTGAGCTTTATGCTTGACTTTCATGACCTGAGAAGCAGGCAGAGCCAGCCACCAAAGCTGCAGCAGAGGTCCAAGCCTCTTTGAAGCTTTAAGGTTTGCTCACATGGTTAAAAAAGGCTAAAAGATATATAATAAAAATAGGTCCAGATGGAAAAACCTCCAAATGGGTTACAATGTTTTTGATAAATGCACATAGGCTTGGGAGAGAGAGGAAAAAAGGGGTATAGACAAAAATAGAAAGAAAGAAATAATTTTAAAAAATAAAATCTTTAAAGAGACAGTAAAGCTGGGCGGTAGTGGCACATGCCTTTAATCCCAGCACTCAGGAGGTAGAGCCAGGTGGATCTCTGTGAGTTTGAGGCCAGCCTGGTCTACAGAGCGAGATCCAGGAAAGGCACAAAGCTACACAGAGAAAACCTGTCTCAAAAAAACAAAAAAAAAGAGAGAAAGAGAGAGAGAGAGACAGTAAAAATAATATAAAAGAAAAAAGCCATGAAAAGATGGGAAATACACAGGGAGTCTGGATCCTGAAGAGTATTATGTTGATTTTGAATTTTTTGATTGTTGAAAAGCAAAAGACAGCTGCTAAGAAACCTGGAATTGAAAGAAAGACTGATAAAATATACCAACCTAAACATTTTTTAAATGCCTTACCTTAAAACAAAAGTCAAAAAATATATTTGTAAAATGGATCTTAAAAGATGAATTGCTTTGGAGAAGTGGCTTTGCTTTTGTTTCCACAGGAAACAAGAGGCTATGGATTCATTCCAGGTTAAGATGGACCAGATTTGAATAAGGGAGACCTCCTGAACCTTTACAGGTTATATCTATCAACAAAGGTTATAGCTGGTCTTCCCAGGACTTGGCCATTATCTCATATTTTCTCAGGGACCCTAAAGATACTTCATCCACAGACAGCAGGAAGCAGTTTGAAGAAAATGACTTCCACATTCCCAAGAGATAGGGGGGTATGGGTGGTCTTCAGTTATTTGGTGGGTTATGAATGTTTGTTATGTTTAGGGGAATATAGGAATATAGGATAAAAAGACAACTATTAATCTCAGGTATTTTGAATTGGCATGGGTTTTGGTATAGTGATGCAAATTAAAATTAATTTTGTTACACTGTATATATGTTTCTATTCTTGTTTAAAGGATTTTTGTTTATTGATACAAATTTAAGGTTGTTTTTGGTACAACATATTATATATATATGTTTCTACTCTTATTTAAGGTATTGTACCTATGCAGTTCATTTAAAAACATAAGGTGAAATTCTAGTTTTTGAAAGCTATTATCATAAACTATTTAGAATAATCAAGAAACATAGATCAGTAGTCAGTCATTTATAGCAGTCAAATCTGTAGATATGTTAGACATGTTTCTAGATCATACAGATATATTTTAGATAGATAAATGGTCTTCAGATAGTTCAAAGACCTATAGAATATGGCATTTGAAATGTTTT